GGTGGAGGATAATCATCCATCAACCCTCCTCAATAAGAAGCACCAATCTTTTCTGCTCTCAAAACACATCCAAACCCAATTTCACAGGAGATCAAATCTTATGGGCAGCAGCACCAACCTTTTCAAAATCGAGTTATTTTCATCGTTCATGCACAGTTGTTTTTCTCACTTCAAAGGGATGCATTTTGGCTTAAAACTTTCTAGACCACTGATTATCAATTGATGTGGGCATTTATGTTGTTGCTGAAAAGTTGTGAATTTAATGGAATTCCAAACAAGATCATGACACACGATTCCCAAATGAGTTTCCTTCCAACATATACGGGAAGAGTCCATGTGAGGATAATTGAACAATATCCAACTACTTCTAATGAGACTTGGTGGAATGTTCTTCGAAGAAAAATGACAACCAAAATGAGTGTAAAGAAAAGGCAAAGAGAAATTTTGAACTCAAGTCATCAATTCCTGTTGGCCGCTTCATCACATAAGACCACATTCATTGTTTCATCCTTATCAAATTTCTCTCTTGTTCATTTCTTACCGATCACTCGTGAGCCAACATTTGGATTACATTCAGCCACATCCTAGCTCACTCATCCTCTATCTGTCAAATTTGGAAGCATTACATTCTTGGAATGAAGGTATCGAATTGGACATGTCTTGTTGAGAGAAATCAAGCAAGCGTTAACCAGAAGGTGAATGTTCTGTACAAGGTATTTGTGCCTAAATGAAGGTTTCAAATTGAATGATTGAAAAGTGAAAGTGATAACTCAGGATCGAGTAAAATAGATAGTAAATCTTGCAGAAAAAGGGGAAGTAAGAATGTGATTTGAGGATGTAGCTGGATCTGAATTCTTGATCAAGATGGTATTGACGTTTGTTATCGAAGAGGGTTGATGGATGATAATCGCGGTGGTGTCGAATGGGGGGGGTTGGTGGATGGAGCCGGGCTGGAACAGCGGGATGACAGCCAGCTCCAGATTGAGCAGGCCGCGTCATCAGCCGCTGCTGCGCGCAGCAGCTGCGGCAAAATTTGATTCCAAAGCTGTGAAGCAAACGTGCCAGAGGTGACAACATTTCTAGCAAATGTAATATATGATTAGGGTGTTCAAACCTGTGCAAGAAATGTGCAAGACCGACGTGCAAGATCCGTGCAAGATCCGTGCAAGATTTTTTGCACTAATCTTGCACAGTAATTTTTTTGACAACCCGAGTTATTGTGTTCCAAACCGTGCAAAAACCGTGCGAGACCGACTCTTGCAAGTTTTGTGCAAGATCCGTGCAAGTTCTATTCATATCTTGCACAGAACTTGCACAAAACTTGCATGAATTGATTTTGAGGTTTGAACACCCTAGATGTTAAAAAGTTTCTTAGAAGGAGAAGTGAGAAATGAGATCATGCAAAGTTAAATCATCTGGTTCATTGTTTATGGATATTACCCGGTACCGGTCAAGAGTTTTTGACTTATAATTTGTAGTGACAGTCATGTGACAGTGCTTGCATGATGTAAAACCCGTGATGTAACGGGACAACCCGAGAGTTGTGGGGCCGGATTGGAATTTGATGAAGGTTAGAATAATTTACAGGCCAGCATTGGACATCTGGAGAACAACATCAAGTCAACTGATTGGAATCTGAACTCGGATGGGCAAATCAAGAAATTGAAATCATCTCAAGTCATGAAAAAAAGTTAGTTTGATTTCTAAACTGATCTCAAGAACTCTTAAACCAGCACACAAGGCTGATTTGAATGATGGAATGATGATAGAAGAAATCTTGATATCTTTCTCGATCGATGATTAATTTCCAATCTTACCTTTCGATCAAATCACATTCGAACCATTTATCATCAAAACCATTTAGAAAGTTACATTCATTGAGAATATCAACTTATAATTTAATACTTCAACCTTTTCATACTACCACTAATCAACCACAACAACAACAAGCCAAGCCAAAACCATTTCACAAACACAGATATTCATCTCCAGAACGACGAATCAAGGAACCATTCTTATCCATCTTGTTACCAATCAAAGCATCCAATCAATCCACAACAAAGAGAAACTATCAAAACACTTTGAAACCAAACTCCATGAATCCTATCCGAACTCATCATCCAAATCAACCAAATCAAATCATACCAAACCCATCAAATTCAATTCATCCGATCACTCAAGTTTTGAACAAATACCAAACTTCTTCTAGAATCTCTACAACTTCTCAACTTCTTTCTGAAGCACTTCAGTCTGTTTTGAATCAATCTGATCATTCCTCAAATCTAGAATCATCTCATCATACCTCCTCCGATCAAGATTGGTGTTTGATCTATTTGAAATACTTACAATCATCTAAGAATCCACTCGAATTTTCTAAAAGATTAGGAGATTTGATCATCAATCGATTACCTAGATACAGATCCGATCAAATCATTCAATTACATTCAAAACATACCAGTCTAAGACACTTGGTTTCCACAGATTCATATAACCAATTAATCAAATTCTATTATTTATCAAATCGATATGATCAAGTAAGATTAATCTTAAAAGAATTGAAAGAAAGAGGATTGAATTTGAATTTACAAAGTTTTGAATTAATCTTATACTCTTACCAAGCTTTAAATAAATCAAAAGGGGTCAAACTGACCATTGAAAAGATTCAAAGCCTTGGACTTTCGATCAGTTTAGACACATGGGTTACACTCTTTTCAATTAAACCTAGGCAATCTTCTAGAACTCGACATTTAGATTCCATGGAAGATAATTCACCATCGATCTCAAGTCTTGATCAGTTTCTAAACGGTTGGAAATGGGATCCTTCCGAACTTCATTCGAATGGTAAAGCCATCATCACTTTAAGCAAGAAATTAATGCAAGATGGGAAATGGAATGAAGCCTTTAGATTTATTGATACAGCTCTTGTTTTGAATTATCTTCATCATGATCCTACTAACCCTACTAAGAAAAGCTTGACATCTTTTTGGGCTCGTGAGTTTCTTCATACACTTCTTTACGGATTATACAATTTAAAGCAAGAAAACCAAAGGTTAATTCGAACCAAACCAAACCGATCATCGAACATCAACCGAGATCCGATTCGATCAAACTTTCAAACTCCTTTACCTTTCAATCAATCAATCTTTAAATTCGTTGAAGACTTTATTGATAAACATCGAGATGGTTATCCGATCCAAGTGAACTCGTCAATCCTTTTGAATTGTCTAAGGATCGAAACCTGTCATTCACCATCCAAACTAAAATCAATTATCCAAAAGTGGAATAAACAGTACGGACTAGAAACCCAAAACCTAGGCAGTAGATCGTCTATAAGGTTCTTACATATCGTTTCCACTTGGTTTACAAAATCGATTCCAACTGAATCAAGGGAAGACTTGATGAAAGAGTATTCGGTCTTGAAAGAGTTTTGGGATACAGATTTGAAAGAAATGATGAAGAGAGGACCGATAGATGGGAAGATCAAAAGAGGTTTGTTTGTTTTTTGGACCAGTCAAAGAATCCAATCAATTCGTATCAGTTTAAATAGAATCAAAAAAATCAAAAGGAAATTGGATATTCTATCTGATGAAGATGAATTAAAGTTAGATTTAAACTTCTTAGATGAGCTTGTTGATGATGTTAAGAAGTTAAAGAGTGGGAAGGAGTCAAGGCAACAGACAGAGATTCAGGATCAAGTGTTGTATAAATGGTGGTCTGAAAAACCTAATTTGAAAGAAATTAAAGTTAAAGTTTAATGATCATCTTTTTTACAGTTTGATGGAATATTAAGCATAAGTCAAAACCAAAATTGTTGGAAGATTAGAGACTCTTAATCTCCCTGTGTGTGTAGATATGAATGCAGCAAAAAAAAGGAACAAATGACATTATTTCTTTTGATTAGATCTTGTATATATGTTTGTTTTTTGGTTTTTGTTTGTTTTTTTGATGAGAGAAAGTGAAAGAAAAGAAAAACAAGTGAAATTGGGTTTAGATTTGTTCTTCAAAAAGGGTTTCTAAGTATCATGAAATTTAAGTAAGTCTGTTTCCATTGACACTTGATATTTCTGCTTATAGAATAAAAAAATTACATATTGTTACCATGGTTGAGACCTTCAATGTGAGTATTTTGTATAATTTTAGTATGCAAATTGTTGATTCTATTAACAAAAAACTTCAAGGATTTTCAGTTTACAACCTGTAACAATTATTGGAATTTGACTCATGGATGACAAGGAGAATTTCAATTCTACAATCCCTCATATATATCTTTTGAAACTCTTGCCCAAAACCTTTGATTTGTAGTTCATTGGAAAGCTAAAACTTTGTGACTTTATCTTTTGTTGAGACAAAAAGGCTTTATCTCAATACAAAATATATATATGTGGATTTATATGAAACAGTTCCAAATACAATTAAGCAGAAAGGATATCTTGGCCTATGGCATTCTGATATGATCAAGGTGTTAGAACCTTGGTGATGACTTTCAGGAACCCAGATGGAAAGGTGGAAAATCCGGCCATAAGAGATGAAACTATATAACATGATGCTTGACTTGAGACAGAACACTTGGGTGATTTCCAACCAAGATTGGCAGATGAAAGTCTTTGTGTCAAAGGACAATGCAAGGCTCATATCCATCGAATCACTGGCCAAAATTCTCATATCATTTTGGTGTTTGGGCTGGTCCCAAAGCGCTGGAAACAATTACGGGTCACAATACAATTCTGATTTATAAGTTGAGTAAAATACAATCTTACTTGTCAGGGGGTGAAACTTAAAGCATGGCACCTTTTCCAAGATGTTGAGTACCCTTATAGTGCAACTCATAGAAAATCAATCCTGAAATTGGCAAAGAAATTGAAACTACCAATGGAGCCTTCAGTAGGAGTTTTAGCAGAAGGAGATATTGATAGTCAAATGAAGTAGCTTACACAATAGCCCTAATTGCCTTCTGGGGGATGGCACGGTTAGGAGAGTCGGTAAAGCTGTCAGCCCTGGGTACATATACATGTACCCAAAACTAACTTATAATATTAGACTTTTACTTATAAACCTAATTACATGTACAGTCCCCTCCAAGTGGTTTACGTAATCATTCAAGTTCTGCAGCGGCGGGGGTGGGGCCGGGGCCTGTTGCAAACCCGATGATTACGAATCCTAGGCGTGGGGACGTGTACATACAGCTTATAAAACACATGTAACATATAATAAAACATATACAAACACCAATTACATATGTATATACACTTAAAAACATATGTAACATGTAATAAAATACCAATTACACCTCATAACTCAGTGTCAAGAGTTAAAATGCTTATACTACATAAATTACATAACACGTATATGTAATTATGTTTATTATTAATAATAATAATAATTAATAGTAATTATTAAACCCTAAACCACAGTGATGATACAATCAAATATCACTACAATTAGGTTTGGAGAGGAGGATATATAAACCCCTTCTCTCTCAGCCTTCAAGGATTTTCCCTCAAGCATTTTATTACACACCTCTTTTAAAGAACCCTTTAAAGTTCAATTGAAGTATATAATCAAGAGTCTTATAATATATAAGACTAGTGATTCACTTCATCTCTTTAAGGAAGTTCCTGCCTAGAAGATAAAGTAATTTCATCCTTCACCCCCTTCTCTTTGGATCCTCTACTTCCCCCAAGTAGAACTTTTCCTCAGGTTAGTGACCTTCCAATAAACCATCAGGTTAGTCACCTTCAGAACAACTACAGGTTAGTGACCTATATCAACTCATAGGTTAGTGTACCTTCAGAACAACTACAGGTTAGTGACCTACATCAACTCCAGGTTAGTGACCTCTTGAATAACTACAAGTTGGTGACTTTATTACAACCAGGTTAGTGACCTCCATATCACTCTTCAATTGGTTACCTTGAAGATTGAAGGAGAGCCTTGGATCCAGCTTTCACCAACTATAGTATATCATAATTATACCCCTGAACCTCCTTTTAAGGAGTCATTTAACTGTAGTCTGTCTGGATTTATCCAAACAGACCAGTTTCCCCCTCCTTCCCTCTCTTTTTATCTTTATAATTTTATTGTAATACATTATATTTGAAATATAACTTAATTATTTAAATTTACCAACCCACCTTGCCATTCTTAGTGAGCTCTGAGTATTCTTTTGAATACCCAACCCTCACAAAAGCTTTCTAGTGTAAAATTGAAAGATCTAATTTGGTATTTGAAGGGTATTTATTTGAAGATTAGGATTTGGACAGCAAAGACAGAGGCAGTAGGCAAAATCGAAATACATTGCCAGTACCAAACTATCTCAATCTGGTGGATGCAGATTGACATTTAATCTTGCATACAAATGCAACAGACAATGATCTGTTATTCTCATAACCAAGAGGTGATCAATATGCTCCATGAATAAAGCCATGATGTCAGAATCTATTTGATGAAGTATTGCAAGATCAAGTTGGATGTATGCTTACTGGCCATTCCTTTTGAGTTGATGGGGCTTCTTCAAGGTGAAACTTGAATAGCCCATTAGATGAGATTGTAGTGGTGAGTCTCTGGAAATTGGAAGGTTACAAATTATATATTGGAGAATGTGAAGAGGTTGACCTGTTAGGAACAATAAAATTATTAGACAACCTTCAATGTATATGAAATATCACTTGAAATTCAATGACATGACACACTGGATGGGTGATCAAAAGGCTGCACCCTGAGTCACAGGGCAAGCACCTCCCATCTGCTGTACCAGTGGGCCTACCTCCCTTGGTCCTTACCGGGGCTGAGGCCCCCCCAATAGACAATCCTCTACCTTTGTCTAAAATTAGCTGATTATAGTATTGTTATATTATTAAAGAATTCAATCATGATGTGAATACTTAAAATGATAAAAGAGAAAAACCACCTTGTAGATATTGCTAATCAAAGAGTGGAATGTGAGATAGAAACAATGAGAAATAAAATCAAGATGATAAGTGAGAGAACCAAGACTATATACTTGACTGTGATATCCACATCTTCCTAAACCTGATTATAAGATCATCTTTTCTGATGTATATGTGCTACATTTCTTTCAAATGGATAATTCCCATGCATTGCCGGCCCTGATTCCTGTCTGTTAAAAATTATTTCAATTATTGCAAGAAGATCTCAACTAGTGACAAAAGATTTGCTCATCATCAGCAAGTGACATGTGGGGCATTTGAAAACCCCATCTTCAGACTTCAAGATATGCTCCTAATGTTTTATTAAAAATGGCAACCACCAGGATATAAATCAACAAAGAAACCAATACCACAGCAACAATATACCTTGATATCTTTTATCTTGGTAGATACAAGGATTAAATGAGTTACCTTCATACATCGCTCATAAAACACATGATCAGTGCAACAACTCAATTGTGCAACTCTTTGCCCCTCCAAGAACCCAGATATACAGATGTGACATTCTTCAGATCCTGTCCTTAGATTAGGCTTTTTGCATGTCAGGTTTTTGACTTGCATTTTGATATTTGAGAACTCTTGTTTGCTTGCCATTGTATGCATGTTCAGAAGAGTGGTGTTGGACAAAGATGAATAACTCTTTCAACTCACTGTCCTCAGAACAAACAGCACAGACAACATCTAAGTCATATGTCTGCAACTTGTGAGGATGGGTTGATTTTCTCGCTGGCCATTGGCACTGCAGCCAACCTCCCGCCAACTGGTTGGTTTATGGAGAGTTGTATAGAATTCTACAGAATTCCTTTGATCAAAATGTCACAGCTTGTTCAAGTTATGTTTCACAAGGTATTATTCGATCGATTGATGACAGGTGAGTTTGGAGTGTATGTAATCGTATTTTGTAGCGTGCGTCATCGAATGTGAAGAAGGTCAATCAAAGCAAACTCAACATCAATCAACATCTCAATCACCATCAAAATATCAACATATAATCTTCATCTCCGTTTATCACGCTTACAATGAATGAAATTGGAATCGAAATCAGAAAAGAGGTAAGTGATCTATTGAAATCGTCATCTTCCGATCAGTTGAACTCAAGACTGTTTTGGGTGATTATAGGATCCTACCTTTAGTGCAGTCATTGATGAAAAAGCTGCTCTAGCTGCTCAGATAAACTCTGAAGAAGACATTTATATTAAATTCAAAAAACTACAACAACATCTTGAGTGAGGTTAACTTTTTTGATACCTCAATGAAACATTTTACTTATTCAAATCTCGAATTTCATACCTTTTTAAAACACGATCAAAGATTTCTAGAACTTCAAGAAGAGTATATTAAAGATGAACAAAAGAATTTAAAACGTGAATTATTAAGAGCACAAGAAGAAGTCAAACGAATTCAATCAGTTCCATTAGTAATCGGTCAATTTTTAGAACCAATAGATCAATTCACTGGAATCGTTGGTTCTACTACTGGCTCAAACTATGTAGTTAGGATTTTATCTACGATTGATCGTGAATTATTGAAACCTTCAAGTTCGGTAGCACTTCATCGACATTCGAATTCTTTGGTCGATGTTCTTCCTCCTGAAGCTGATAGTAGTATCAGCATGCTTACGGCTGAGTCAGTTCTCAAATCACTATGAATCTTTCTCTCTCGCGTTTCAAGAGCTAACGATAGTTTTATTTTTTTCAGTGAAAAGCCAGATGTAACATACAATGATATCGGCGGGATGGATATCCAAAAGCAGGAAATCCGAGAAGCAGTAGAACTACCACTCACTCATTTTGACCTCTACAAACAAATCGGAATAGATCCACCACGAGGAGTGTTACTATACGGACCACCAGGAACCGGTAAAACGATGTTAGTCAAAGCAGTAGCGAATTCAACCACAGCTTCTTTTATCAGAGTAGTAGGATCGGAATTTGTTCAAAAATATTTAGGTGAAGGTCCTAGAATGGTTCGAGATGTCTTTAGACTTGCAAGAGAAAACTCACCGGCTATTATTTTTATTGATGAGGTTGATGCGATTGCGACTAAACGATTTGATGCTCAAACTGGTGCTGATAGAGAAGTTCAAAGAATCTTACTTGAGTTGTTGAACCAGATGGATGGATTTGATCAAGGTAGTAACGTCAAAGTTATCATGGCTGTATGTCCATTCTCTCTCTCTCAGTATTATATTTCTCTAGTGATAAGAAGAATTGACGTTCAGGTTTGTATGGTACTTACCAGACCAATCGAGCTGATACACTTGATCCAGCACTTTTAAGACCTGGACGATTAGATAGAAAAATTGAATTTCCATTACCATCCAGAAGAGAAAAACGATTAATTTTTCAAACTTTAGCAGGAAAGATGTCACTTGGAAACGATGTAGATTTAGAAGATTGTAAGTCTTTGAGCAAAAAGAAATCACAAGTCAAAAATGTTTCTTGACTTTTTGATTCTTTTTTTTTGGTTTAATAGATGTTCAAAGACCAGATAAACTTTCATCAGCACAAATTTCACAAATTTGTCAAGGTGCTGGATTACAAGCTGTACGAAAGAATCGGTATGTAATCTTACCTTCAGATTTTGAAGAATCATGGAAATCAGTTGTAAAGAAAGGAGAAGATACACATGCATTTTATAGATAGAATTATTTCATTTTTCCTGAAGATGGTTTTAAATTGTGTTAAGGGACAGAGAGGGATAATTGTTTGTATTGAATCTATTTTTTTGAGACTGTGAAGGGGGTTTTGGAGTGAAGGTTAATTGAATTTGAAAGGTGTTTTTGGATTTTTGAATATGGGAGAGAGAGGGACTGAAGGTGAGGTCATTGATGTGCATTTCAGATCTATATTCATGGTCAATGTAGATCGCAACAATTCATGGTGTCTTGGGTATGCAAATGCTGCAAGATGAGGCATATGGTTGTATGTGAGTCTTATCATCATAGAACCTATTGCCACACATTGCCACTCACTAAACATACCTCTGGAGTTATTGGAAACTTGAAGATGATCTCCAAAAGTTGAACTTGATCTTTTTTATGTTGCATTTGACCTTGCATGCAGAGAAACTTACACTTCTCATCATAGAAAAAGATGTTTGCTGGTGTAAGCAACTTGAAAGCTGATATTCTCTTAGGATACATGGCCACAGGGAAGCCCAGACAGCTTGGCTTAAGAGTTGAGCTTGTTGTACAAAGTGAACATGTTCAAAGTTTGAACAAATCCCTTGGGCTGATGAGAACTGTTGATGATGTCGAAAGACTGTGACAGGGTGGTGACACTATTACGCAGCCGCTTTGTCGACGAACCACAACTTAACCAGTGAGCTATACAGCTGTTTCACAATCTCCTGCGCTGATCTTGATTGGTTTCACAGACTGAACAGCTACAGAATATGAAATTTTGATGTTTGAAACGGTTTTGTGTGAAAGATGAGGGAAAATTGATTGTAAAATTGTTGCTGTTGACCGTCCTCTTCCTCCCTTTCTTCCCCTTACCACCACTCACTACCTACCTTCATCACCTTACTCCATCCCGCATTCCCTCATTCCAAGAGTATCGCCATCGACTTTGTTGTAGTTGATACATTCGATCAGGATACTTTGACCTTTTTGTCCTCCCTTGATTACTTTCTGCATCTTTCGATCTTGATCGTCGACTTTGTTCAACTTTAATCCTTTTGAATTACGAACTTTTTCCTCAAAAAACATCGCCATGGCATCTACTACCAACGACTCTCAAACGCCCGCTGCTTCTGCTCTCCTTCAAGCGCTTTATCAAGCTTCGGACAACCCTTCAGCCACTGTCGCTGCCCGTGCACTTGCTACTCATGTTACCACCACCGGCCTCCGCTCTCTGGCTGTCGATGGTATTACTGAAGATCTGGTCCGCGCTTCTCGCTCCAAGCTTGTTCCGGAGCGTGAGCGTGCCATGATTGCACTCGAGGAAATCTGCCGAACTGTGGGAGCTCCCGGTGGTTTCGATCCGTACATCCTTCCTTTGCTTCCCGTCATCCTCGAACGTTATTCCGAAACCGGAAAGGCCGACGTGATCGGAAAGGCTGCCGAGAAGGCTGCTAAACAAGTCCTCAAGCTCCCACCTCCCGAAGCTGTACCTATGTTCATGTCCGCCTTATTCGAGATCCTTTCGACCTCCGGTGTCAAGTGGAAGACCAAAACTGGTGCCCTAGAGATGTTGACCGCCTTGGTTAAGATTGGACCCGATCAAATCGCCGAACGCTTGGGAGAGATCATCCCTCACCTGACCGCAGAGATGCGGGACACCAAATCCGAGGTCAGCGCAGCTGGTCACAAAGCTGCCCTTGCTATCTGTGGAGTGCTCTCCAACTTGGACGTCCTCCCATTTGTACCTTTGCTAGTCAATTGTATGGCCAGGCCTGATACCGTACCCGATGCCATCAAGCAATTGTCAGCAAATGTCTGGGTCAGAGACGTGGATGGACCTACCCTTGCGGTCCTTGTACCCTTACTCCAGCGTGCTCTGTCCGATCGTAGCTCTGTTGTTCAACGTCAGACTGTCATCTTGGTCGGCAATCTCTTCAAGCTCGTTCGATCGCCCGATCTCGCCCATCACCACCTGAAGAATCTTTTCCCTGGTGTTCATCGAATTGCGGAAACTGCCTCCTTCCCGGAAGTTCGAGAGTTCGCCCTTCAGGCCGTCAACACACTCACCATTTCGGCCGGTGCCGACGAAGAAACGATTGCCAACTTGAAGAAGACTGGTCTTGGTAGTACCGGCGCTAGCCCGATCTCATCTATTCCCGGCACCCCTGCTATGAAACTCGTGGACGAGGATCAGATGCTTGCAGAGAAATCCCTCGTTCTCTTAATCAAGAAGTTCGCCAATGAAGACACAGACGCATTCATGCACACCTCTTTGACCTACCAAGCTACCTGCATCGCCAGCTTAGTACGTAAGCGTGACTTTGACGAGGCGCAATGGACCAAATACACTGTACCATACCTGTCACGATTCATTCCTGCTGCCACGGCCGAGCAGATTGCTAAGGAGAACTTGAAACGATGGCTCGAGATTGACAAGGAACGATACTTCAAAGCTGCTGGTGATGACGACGATGATCCTACTGAGAAGATTGTTGATCTGACCTTCTCCCTGGCTTATGGAGGTCTCTTGTTACTCAACCATACCATGCTGAAATTGAGACGAGGTTGGAGGTACGGTGTATGTGGAGCCAACGGTTGCGGTAAAAGTACTCTTCTAGTACGTTTTCTTTTCCTACACATTTCTCATCCCTACATCACATGTCACCTTGAAATTAACTCTTTGATCGTGTCATTCTCGCCTACAGAAAGCGATCAATCGTCACCAGATCGAAAACTTTCCAGAAAATGTCTCGACTTTCTACGTCGAGCATGATATTGATGGTGAAGATTCCGAAGCCACTTGTCTTTCCTTCTTGATCGCGGACAAGTTTGTCAAAGCCAAGAACTTGACAGAAGACCAGATCTCCGAACGAATGAAGGAATTCGGATTTGACTCGGCGCGTCAGGGGGCCAAGGTCGACTCTCTCTCCGGAGGCTGGAAGATGCGACTAGCGTTGGCTCGGGCCATGCTTTGTGATGCAGATCTACTTTTACTCGATGAGCCGACTAACCATTTAGATCGAGCATCAATTGAGTGGCTTCAAGATTATTTGAAAGCTCAAACTCGGGTCACCATCTTGACTGTCTCGCACGACTCTGGTTTCCTGGACTCAATTTGCACGGACATCATTCATTACCAGACCAAGCAGTTGGTATACTACCGGGGTAATTTGTCTAAATTCGTCGAGAAATATCCCGCTGCAAAAAGTTATTACACCCTTTCTGCCTCCCTCGTCAAATTCGTCTTCCCTCCCCCCGGTGCCTTGATGGGTGTTCGATCACAGACTCGAGCCATCCTCAAGGCCACCAACGTGACCTTTACCTATCCCGGAGCACCTAAACCTAGTTTGATGAATGCATCTTGCGCTGTCACCTTATCGTCTCGAGTCGGTGTGGTTGGACCTAACGGAGCTGGAAAATCAACCTTAATCAAACTCTTGACCGGAGAAACCGTTCCTGACTCTGGCAAAATCGAAAAGCACCCTAACTTGCGAGTCGCGTATGTCGCTCAGCATGCCTTCCACAATATTGGTGCTCATATGGAAAAAACTGCTGTGCAGTACATTGCATGGAGATATCAGGATGGTCACGATCGTGAGCAAGCAATGAAGGCTGTGAGTCAAACGTCCCAAAACTGACACCGTTTCAGATACTCCGTGATACATGATAGATGCTGATTACACCATTTTTGTTTCAACAGTCACGAGTACTGTCGGAAGAAGAAAAACGTCAAATGGAGGTTCCCATCGAAGGCAAGAATGGAGAGAAGAGAAAATTGGAGATGATCATTGGTCGACAAAAATTGAAAAAATCATTCCAATATGAGTGTAAATGGAAAAATATGGACCACAAGCACAATTCCTGGCTTCCGCGTGAGAAGTTGATTGAGGCTGGGTTCAGTAAGCTTGTACAAGAACACGATGATCTTGAGGCTTCTAGAGAAGGGTCTGGTTCCCGTGATTTGTCATTCAAAGTGTAGGTGTTTGTTTTAGGTATCTTTTTGATCTGTGGAACTGAAGCTGATCTTCAAACCTATCTTCAGCATCCGATCACATTTAATTGATGTTGGTCTTGACGGTGATATTGCCGAATACAACGAGCTGAAAGGATTGAGTGGAGGACAGAAGGTTAAAGTAGTCATTGCGTAAGTGTCTTCCCTTGCGATTCTCAGCTCATTCTGATATCTGATGAGTCCGTAAATTTTGTAGTGCCGCATTGTGGAGCAAACCTCAAGTCCTCATTCTCGATGAGCCGACAAATTTCTTAGACCGAGACGCCTTGGGTGGATTGGCAGTCGCTATCCGAGACTGGGCAGGTGCATTTGTCTGTATTTCACACAACGAAGAGTTTGTTGGAGCCCTTTGCCCGGAGATTTGGAATGTTGAAGGTGGTAAATTGATTCATAAGGGTAAAGCAGCTGTAGTGGAAGGAGATGCATTTGAGGATGGTAAACGAACCCTTGGAAACGGTCTTAACAGTAAGAAGAATACACCTTCTGGTAGCAAGAGCGCTACTCCATTGGCTAGCGCTACACCCTCTGCTACCAACTCGGGTAACGAAGCCGAGGCAGCTGATCCTAATGCAATGCCGGTGGTGAAGAAAAAGAAGTTGACGCGTAAACAATTGAAGGATCGTGAAGAGCGTAGACGGATGCGTAAATTGCGTTGGTTGTCTGATTCTACTGGCGCACCTCGTGAACCAGATACCGACACTGGTAAGTTGCTTTTTTGATATTCCTATGCATACAAACTATTTCACAAAACTGGATCAAATGATTGACAATATCTCGTTTTTGTTCAATTACAGAGGACGAGCATTAAGGTTTGATCGATTGTGTACGATTTTGACCAGTTGGCGTTCGATTTTTTATTGCTAGATTAAAACCCTTTAAATTAAAAACCTTTTAAAATCTATTTTCCAATCATGCATTGGACAGCAGCATCTCTTCAGTCAAAGATCAATGATAGAAGGAGAAATCCGTTTTGTGTGTGGTGGCATGAAGTTTTCTTTCAATTCACTTTCTCAACATCTCCATCTCTCTATCTTTCTCTCGACTGTGTAAATAATTAATGAGTTTTGATACAAGGATATGGAGGTTTCCTTACCGATAGATTTCTTTTCTTCTTCTCTTTACTTTTTTTGTTTTATCATTTTCCTTATAAACAAAGAGTCAAATGATATGAAGTTGTTGAAGACCATGTGTGTGTTTGTGTTCATTTATAGATTAATATATGGGTGCGCTTGTGCTTTAGATGTTTGCTTTCTCTATAGAAAAAAATGAAGTGATGTTTTTGACATCTTTATGAGTTTTTTGTCTCCATTAAGGTCTATGTACTGGACGATGATTGAATGAATGAAGAATATCTTAATCAGGTTTTGGTAGCCAGCTTGTTCAAACTTTAAATACCAAGAGTGGTCTATTGAACAAATTGACCAACATTAGGTTACCTGCTAATCAAGCACTGATGGGAATTTCAGATTAGTCAGTGTAATTGAATGTCAACCAAGTATCTTCACTGTCTTCAAAGAGTTTGGTTATCTTTTGCGGCTCTCCTTGGGTCTGAGCCTTGAGGTACATATAGCAAATCTTGGTCTGCAAAGTCCCTCAACTCCCATTTGTTTAGGCCCGCCTGAATTGACTTGGAATCTACCCAATTGGATTTACCGTTAAATAGAAGAAAATATGAAGGCAGGAAATAATCCTTTCGTTTGGAAAGTCAGCTTACCTTTTCCTTTTTGTTGGTTCTGGAAAGCTTCTCACGTCTCGGGTGGAACGACATCAATTACCTTCTAGAGTTGGTAGGACCGAGTTGGCTTTTTGATTTTAAAAGCAACCATCTCTTCCGGACATTCGCTTCGGACATATCTGATGCAGTTACTTTTGAAATATGTCGAGGGATCTGCGACCACATTGCCCATCTCAAGCAAAGGAATACACTTCTAACATGCAGCCTTAAATTTATCAATTTTGCACTTTCATCGAGATGCGATCGGATTACAGCATCGATGGATTTGCTTGGATCCAACGCCAGACAAAGATGGATGGATCGAATTTTATGTGTGTTTTGACAGGCGATAGATCATCGTCTGAAAGGCGCAGGTTGATTCATCACGACAGATATATATATAACGAGGCTTTTCTCTTGGACGACTTGATATTCACTGCGAGTGGTTTCAGGCCTTTTGAGACAGTGGCTAAAGGAAAGGGTCGTAGTCCAATCTACTTCCATTTCAACGAAGTTTGCGATCACGGTGATTTCTTCAAGCATCAAATGTGAAGGACATAATCCAATCTCTTATGTATTTCGGGAAGATGAATCCAGCTTACGTTTTTGCCTTGAAGACCGTTCGTCTTGGAAAAGTTGGCGCGTAAGGAGTCGAACATCACTAATGACTGAATAGCAGAAATACATTGGCTTTTCGATTCCAAAAGCGAGGCTATTTTCTGATCATCAAAATGACGCACATTTGGAACAAACGTCTTCACGCTGCTACAAGGAACCAGTGACCTGTTATCTGATGCTCGTACCACGCCTCATATCTACGCTGAAAGCAAAGCAGAGTTTTCCTCGAAAGCGATCAAGTGACCCAACCTAGCTTTTGCTTTCCATACTATGGTTATAAAATGTTTTCGTGTCAAAAGAATGGAGGTTCGTTCTACGAAGCTATCACCACCAACAACTATCAAATTTTCAAATATTCATCAATAATCTTCTCAGACAATTCAAAATCAAACCTAAGGTACCTTTTCTAATCGCTCACAAGATGCTTGACCAATTGCCCGCCGAGATTCTAGAAGAGATAATTTACTATCTGATCGATCTGGATGCCAAAGAGCGCGAAAAGGCACGTCATCCATACAATGGAAAATGTGGAACAGGTACGAATCATGAAGTTTTCTTGACGTGTATCTTGAATGTTAGCTCACTGTTGATTGTCTCCATATGATCTTATAGCACTCTCCTTTATGGCACTATCTCATGTCAATTCAAGACTGAGGAAGAGCTGCGAATCTTTTCGCTGGAAGGTAAGCACTTTTTTATCATCTAACATGAAAGAAGTAGAAAGTGCTGATGCAAAATCTGCAAAAACCCAACAGACAATACTCTTTTTGCGAAAACAAAGTCGTAAGGTGAATGCGGCTCATACAACTCTGTATCCTCCAACCAGACACGTTCGTGCGATTCAAGCTACAGTACCTCTGTTGGGCGACAATGATGACATTGATCAGAGGTGCTTCAAATATTTCCATCATCTGGAAGCATTCCTAGATAAATTCTCTCAAAACCGTGTCAAGCATATACGTCTTTACACTCCTTCTTCTCTTCCGCTTGACAAACTTGCTTCGCTCAGTAATCCCGAAGACTCTATTGGTAGACATCTCAACAACGCTCACCGAAAAATACTGTCTTCCTTGGTTCAGTTTCCCCTTCTGACCTCGTTGGAGATTAACGGTGCGTGCTTCAATTTCGGGGCTCATAATGATATTGCTGAGTGCGTTTCTCAACTTCCTAATCTGGTCCGATTCCGAGCGACGAGTTCATTACCTATCGCGATCGATACTATGAGTCATAGCATCCAGCTTGGTGAGTCATTGGCTTCTCTTTGCTCATTGGAATACCTCGCTCTTCAGAATTTACAATATCCAGATTCGACTTGGGCCGATCTCAACTGGAAGGGACCTTTAAAGTTTTTGTTTATAAGTGACTGCTGGAACATCAAAGATGATGCACTTTACAGGTTCATATCGAAATTCGTGACCTTGAAGAAAATACGCCTTCTACGTCAAGAGATGTCACTTTCGCCTGGATTTTTACACAGTTTTCCGATCCTGTTCCAGGCGTTGGAAAGCTTCACGTTCCTAGGAATTAGCTTCGAGAATCGCATCTTTGAGATCTTATCAAGGGCCACCAAGCTTGAAAGATTACACGTACATCTATATGTACCTGAGGACATTCTTCAAGGCATGATTAGCTCTATTGACGAGAACTCTTGGCCAAGCTTAAAGGTTATCATCTTTTCAAGAGTAGATCCTAAGAATGAACAAAAAATCTTTCTTGAAAATTGGTGTCTCGAAAGGCAAGTAAAGATCAAGTTTCATTCTTGTTTGAGTATAGATTCGTTGGAGGAAGAAGAAGACCTTGTAGATGATGCTGACTTGACTGATGGATCGGATACCGAAGAGATATCTGATGTTGTGGCGGACGATGATGAACAGTTTGATACGCTTAGCGTGACGTCGACAGCGGATTCGGATGATAGTGAGTTGAGCACACCGGAAGATTGGACGTGTCCAAGTTGGATTAGAGATCATGAGTAGAATTACTGGTTTGTTTTTTGAACCCCTTGAACTTGCTTTTATATCTTTGAAAAGAATTATTTGCTCTTTTTGTGAAGTAGTCTATTATTATCAAAGTGTTCAAGTAAATTATCTGTGAATATTTATTTCATCTATGCAAAGGTCACTTGGATTCGCACACATGATCATTAGTAAGTGCTACTTTCTATGGATCAAACCTCACTATGTATATTGACCACGGCGTTCAGATTGCTTTTGGAATGCGTGTATGGAAACATAGTGAGAGATCAGGGAAATGATCTCATGACAGATCAGCAATGATACTGAAACTTTTTTGAAAGATTTCTTTGTATTAGTTATCAAGAACTTCATTCAAAACAAAAGGAGTAAAGATGTTTTTAGCCAGTTTATATTCCTGGAAGATTGCCATAGCTCTTTTGTTAGCTAGCATTATTTTGATCCTTGACCTTTTACTCAATCAGTCTGAAATACCTGAAGCACATAAGGTTGATCAATCACTGGATAGGTGTAATCAGCACATAATATGTGCAAAACAGCACGATAATCACATCGTATGCATGCTGACCCTCTCATCATCATCCACTTTTTCCCAACAGTTACTTGCTCATATAAAATATATAAACAATGTAGGGGAATGTGGTAAATGGAAAGAAGTCAGGTCTTGGAATCTTGACTTCTGAATAGTGTCATGAGCTTGATTGTGGATGTGTTTTCAAGGAAGCCTTATTTTGAATGGAGAACGTATGCACAAATTGAAATCTAAGATTGGGTTCAATGCAAGGCCATATTCTCCATATTATTTTTGTACATTTGGCCAAGTTGAAGTTTGTGTACAAAGGCTTAAGCCATTCCAAGGAAATGTTTGGTGATGTTTGTCACGTACCAAAGCATGAATTGTGTGAAAGGTTGAGGATGAGTTTCATTGAAGAGTCACCGATTTTAGTTTTCAATCGTTTGATCGATTCCAGTTTCTCATTGCCACTGCCACTGCCACTGCTAGATAGTCAACTCTAACTCTCAAGTCCATTTCCATATCTCTTTCTCTTTCTCTTTACCTTTTACCTTTATCAATCGAAACATATCAAGAACAAGAATAAGAACAAGAACCAGAACAAAAACAAGAACAAGAACAAGAACAAGAACCGATCCAACATACTTCAAACTTCATCACTACAGATGTCTACTGATCATTCACCTCTCTCTTTCAACAAGCTCAACTCTGATGCTACTACTACTACCACTACTGTTCCAAACCATCAAGCACGGAAACCAAGCATAGGCGATGCGAGTCAGTTATTTGGAGGCGGTGGAAGCGGATTAGATGACTTCTTTGGAACCTCATCCCTCTCTAGTCATCCCAGCCAGCCTCCCGGTTTCGCCACCTTACATGAAGAGCCTGACTGTTTTAATCCTAACGCCAATGGCCCTTTCCCATCATCTACCGACATATCTCACGATATGCAAAATGGTCCATTCGACAATGTTTGTGGCGTCAACGGTACTCTCTCTAGCTCAACAAACCCTGCTCCTTATGGTGTCCCTCATCAGCTACCCTCGATTGCCTATTCTCACTCCTACGCCGCCCCATCGCCCCCAACTCAACACTTCAATCCGAATATGACGCAATCTTCAACTGATGCCTACAACAATTATGCTCAGGCTTCATACATTCCTAATCAGGCTGATACCGCTTATTCTCATTACTCTCATCACCCTCAATCGAATACTTATGCGGAACAGACGTATGGTCAAGATCATCACACTACTGGCCTAGGAATTTCTAACACACCTCTTCACTCAGTAAACAATACGATACCGTCCTATCCCGAGAGCAACCCTTACGCACCTTCACAGCTTCATGATAACTCTAGCACGTATCATGCGACCTCTAGCCACGAAAGTCCCAGTTTCAACCCTTACGATACAGTTCCCCATTTGTCCGGTCACATCCCACGTTCAGCTTCTGTTGGTTATCAGCCTCACCATGACTCACTCGATACGGATTCACAGTTTCTTTCTCATTCTCACAATCAAAACACATCCAAACTGTCTCATCAATCCAGCACAGCTTCCTTCACCCGTCCTAAAGGATTTGATGCATACGATCCCCCTCCTATCCGCAAAAAGAAGCACATGGCACCCAGTACAACCGGTAGCTTGCCGTCGAGCCCAGCACTAGGTTATGGTCAAACAAACCAATTTGGCATGGGTAACTTTGGCTCTCCTGGGGCGCAGACTCCGCCTCCACCACCTAAACAGCGCAGTATATCGGGACCTGCTCAAGCACCGATCATCCCTGGTTCCGAGAATTATACCTCTCCCCGAATCACCTCTGATGATGCATATCAGCCACAAGCACAGGCTTTGCATGGACCAAATCTACAATGGGACAGTTCGCATACGACTATTGACAATGCTCATGCTACGGGATACAGCCCCCATGGATTTCAACAGCCTGCTCAACACTTCGTTCATCAAAGTCCAAGCTTCGACCCTTACAACCCTAACCCTTCCTTCCCATCTGCCACACCTAGTTATCAAAGCAATACCGACTATGATCCATACGCACAACCTATTCAATCTCAAAATATGAACCATCATGAAGCGGTGAACCAAAATAATGGATCTCACCAAGTTTCGACTAGTCAAGATGATGTCCAGCGACCGGATGATCCTTATGCACCTAACAACGTCGTGAACGTTGACGCCTATCGTACACCCTATGGTGGTTTGCCAAACATCAATGGTAGAGAATCACCCTTATCAACCAACCGCAGTATCACATCCTCGCCACCGATGACCTCACACTCGCCAGACTCTACCCCATCCTCAACTAGTCCTAAGCCTGGCCAAGCCCCGTCAAGTCCTACCAGTGGAAATTCAATGTCTGTGCCATTTGATCGCAAACCTAAGCGAAGTAGTCCTCTCAAAATGGCCGTGTCTGCCAACGACGAATCAGACCCGATGGCCTCTTCCAACGCTCCACTGATCGAAGAGCCCAACGGAGTCTCGCAGCCAGCCACTCCCTCAGCAGAGGAGGACCTTTTGATTGCGGCCACTCAAAAGCTTACATTGAACACTACTCATCAACAGTCTGGGGTTGAGGCGGCTCGTAGCGGTGCCGAGGCTGCAGGTCTCTCCGAAGCTAGCCAGACGCAAGGTTGGTCTGCCTCGGATCGTGTTCCTCAAAACGACACCCTCTCTTCAAATAGCTTTATGACGGTTCCTGCAGTCCTGATTCAGCCCGCTACGCCTGAGATGACCATCTCAGATATCCCGGAGCCGTCCCCGACCCGCACGAACTTCGATGTCTTGGCGGATCTTGATCAAGGTACTGTCACGAGACCCTCTAGTAATATGGATCATGACTTGTATGCTTACGACCATGTGGTAGGTGGTACGGTGGGCCGAGACAATGGTGCCTATGATTACGGCTCGGAACAAGTATATGATCAGCAGTACCAAGGCACCGACGAGCAACATAACCCGACATTCGATAGCTACCAACCTCAATCTGCATCGGATAATGTCAATGCGTCATCGTACTATGACTCCTATGCCCCCACGGAAGGTCAGCACGCATCCGACCAAAATCCGTACAATTATTCTGTTCCACCTGTGCAAGGCTCTGTTAGTCAGCAGAATCCAGTTGAAGATCCGTACTCGGCCCATTACCAGCCAAGTAAATCATTTTTCATCCCTTTGGTGTTTTTTTTTGATTTTGTTGTTGACCATGTTTGCTCTTTGTCACTCAGGTGTTGCTAATGTGTATGAGCCGGCTAACACAGACACGCCAATTCCTCCCGTTGGACCCTCGACTCGTCCATCTAGTCGCATGTTGGTCTCCGAAAGTCCTCATCTCATGGCCTTCAATGAGGCTGAGAGCTATGCGCCCTCAAGCCATCATCAACCTGCTTCCTCAAATGATCGAGACGGTGACCCAAGCCTGCATCGCTTGAAAGCCAAAATACCTTTGGCTAGCTTCGGTTTTGGCGGGAAGTTATTAGTAGTATTTCCTAGTGGTGGACAAGCACCTGCGTTCACGTCGGCTGGCTATGAAGATCCTTACAGTTCCGCAGCCAAGGCTTCCACGGGTACCACCCTACAAGTTCACAAGTTGTCTCAACTCATTCCGTCTACCGAGTTGCAAGCATTTCCGGGGCCTTTATTTATGGCAGGAGGGAGCAAGTCTTCTGTTGGTAAGAAAAAGAAAGAGATCACTGAATGGCTTGATGAAAGACATGATGAGACGGAAAAGGAGTGTAGTTATTTACAAAGCAACACGAAAACCCTTCATACGGATGGCGGGGCTGTCGAAGCTCATATCATGAAGACGGAACAGGTTCAGGACAAACTATTGGTCTTGAAACTTTTAAAAATCATGCTTGAAAACGAAGGCAAATTAAGTGGATCGTAAGTGTGAGAGTTCAACGTAATCATTGCATATATACTCATCCCACTGTTCTGCCCTGTCATCCAGACCTAAAGTAGACGAAGCAGTGCGCATTGCTTTGAAATCGGTCTCTCTTCGCTCACCAACCGGAAAAACAAGTCCTTCGACACTCGCAGTCGAGCCGCTACTCTTCGATGCTGGTTTCTCATCCCCTTCCGTCTCTCACTCACCCCCTTCTGACACAGTTGCTACCTATACTGTCACAGCCAGTAATCTGGACCGGATTCAAGCCTTGCTTTCACAAGGTGATCGTCCAAATGCACTGAAATTCGCATCGGAACAAAAAATGTGGGCACATGCCCTTGTGATTGCGAATAGTCTCGGCCATGACACCTGGCGAGAAACAGTCCGAGATTTTGTACGTTATGAGCTGGGTACTCCGGTTTCTTCAGGCTCAAGTGGTGCCTCAGATTCTCAGTCGAATGGAAGAGAAAGCTTGCGAGCCCTGTATAGTCTTTTCGCTGGTGCAGGTCCTGCTGCAAGTGAGTCAAACGGTTTTTCGCCTGTCTAATACAGATAGATAACTTATGTGATGTGACTATTTTCAGTGGAAGAGTTTATTCCACATAGTATTCTTTCTGGTAACTCGATGGCTCGATCTAGTCCTTCTCTTGCCCCCAATCCTTATGGAATGGCGATGACCGTACCCTCTTCGGCATCCAATTCAAGGACGTCATCTCCTGTCCCGGCAAATAAACCTGAGTTCAGACACCCAGCCGCAAAGTTGCCACATGAAACGTTGAACCAATGGAGATCAACAGTTGCCCTGACAATTGCCAATCGTGTTCCTGGTACAACTCCTTTCTTGTCGAGCTTGGGTGACACTTTGTTGAGCAACAACCGGGTTTACGCGGCGCATGCATGGTGAGGACTTTGTGTCTCTTGCGGTCCGAGCTGTGAAACTAAACAAGTTTGCCTTTTAGTTATTTGTTATCCAATGGTCTTTCTCCGATCGTTGGCATGGAAAATGGCACTCGTATATCCCTGCTCGGGTGCCATATGCAAGCGTCCCATACAGGCCCAGGTGTGAATGTCGAGGCTGTGATGTTGACAGAAGTCTTAGAATTTGCCCTATCATTGGCCGTTGTTGGTAAGGGCCAAGATACTTTCATCGGCATACCCCATATTCAAGGCTACAAGCTCGCTGTGGCCTACGAATACGCCACTTCTGGATTGGTAGCTACTGCACATCAGTGAGTTATTGTCAACTGGGCAAAATTGTAACATTGGCGAACTTTGCTGACCTCCCACGGCTCTTCGTGTAGGTACTGTGATTCAATTGCCGCAATAATCAAGCTGGCAACAAAGCCGTGTGCTTTCTATCATGCCACTCTCACCGATCAGATCAAAGCCTTATCGGACCGACTCTCGGCTGCGCCAGTACCAGAGAAAGGTAGCTCCTGGATCTCCCGCAAAATGCCTAGGCCAACTCTCGACAATGTCTGGCAATCACTCGAAGGCCGTGTACACAAGTTCGTTGCGGGGGATGACGAGGGAAATACAGAAAGTGGTAACAACGGGGGTCCGGGCCTGACGTTGCCCAATCAAGCTATCGGTCCATTTTCCCATTACAGCTCAATATCACCTGCTAGTTCATCTGGAACTCTTTCACGAGCGCAATCGTCTAGTGATTTGAGGTTTGGTGTCCCAGCATTCTCGGCACCATTTCAACATGGCTCATCACTCCAACGACCTGCATCTGGTGGTGGGTACTCATCAACGACCTCTTATGAAAGAGACCCTCGGCAGAGATCAACCTCAGCACTGGTAACTGGATACAGCTCATCCGATTGGTATTCCCATGCGGAGGACGATGATCCCACTATCACTCAGCCCTTCTTGACAGAATCCCAACGGAACGTGAGAGACGATTCCTCCAAAACTGCAACGCCTACGACCGTTGTACCTGCGGGAGGAGGAGGAGGTGGAGGTGGTGGATGGTGGGAAGCAGCTGCTTCAACAGGAGGAGCGACTTCCAGCTCTATACCTCCAGTGACTTTTACGACTTTCGACGCAGGATCTGCCCCAATTGCAGCTGATGATGGATCTGGTTTCATTGACCCCATGGCGTCATTTGGTATACCTTCATTCTCCACAAGCAATAACGCCGATTTTACTAATTACCGCGATGACTCATCTAAAGCGGCTTACAATGACGATGATGATGATGATGATGACTTGGGTTTGGGTAATAACAACCGAAAGAGGGAGAAAAGCGGTGGGGGCAACAGGGGTGATGATGATGATGATTCTGCATCGAATGACAAGAAAGGCAGCGATAATCACAAGCCAACGGGTTCAAGCCTGAAACCTGATGACAAGAGTGGGTTGTCTCCCTTTTTCTGAATTTCGGACCTCTGCCTTTTGATAATATCGAAGACTGAGTCAATGATGATAATCTTCTTGAATGATAGGCGTAAAACCGTCTGCGTCAAGCTCCTGGCTAGGTCGTTGGTTTAAACGTGACGCATCAGCACCTACCAATGGAGCACCAGTCAAAGCTAATTTAGGCGAAGAAGTATCTCTTGTTTACGATCCTGAAACCAAGCGATGGGTTAGCCGTAAAGTAAGTTGCTCGCTCTTTTTTCAAGCAGGCGAGAGATACTTAACCGATCACGCTTTATCTTCTCTGATCAGCCTGGTCAGGCGTCTACTTCAAGCACTCCCAACACACCGCCACCACCGCCAGCTAGAGCACAGACAGCGTCACCGACCAGCGCGATGCGCTCACCAGCGGCTAATGGAGCTTTCCCACCCCCACCTGCCATCAATCGAACCATGTCCAATATGACTAATGGAGCCAATCCACCACCACCATCACAACATCGACTCTCACAACCTACTACATATCTAAGAAATTCAATTTCATCATCTGATCTGAATTCAACCCCAACAGCATCACCTCCGCCAATACAACAGGTGTCAGATACTACACCATCTTCAACTTCAGCTGGATTACCACCACCACCACCTAGCATGATTGGTAGTAAAAAACCTGCTACAAAGAAAAGCATCAAATCACGTTATGTGGAAATTAGATGATGATGACGAAAAAAGATTTGATTTTATAAAGAAGAGAAGTGACGAAGGAAAAAAAATGAAGGTTTTTGTCTTTATTTTTTACATCATGATGATTTGATTGTATAACTACTACTAGTACAAAGAAAAATCATAGGTAGTATATATATATATTTGTTAGATTGATTTTATCATTAACTATTCATTCCAATTTATGATTATTTTTTTCCTCCATAGCAGAAGTTTGTATATAGAATTTCTTATTTTCTTCTTGTGTCTTTGAAGACGTTTTCATGTTTTGGAGTAAGCAAGGTTTTTGAGAAAAAGTGGTTGATGGGGTGGTATGATATATATATAAATATAGTGTTGAGTTTTAGAAATTTAGAGAAATTTGTTACTTTTTATATCAGTTTGTTTGTTTTGGAAGATTTTATGAGGGTTTTTTGTTTGATTTTCAATGGTTTATTACAGATCTGTCAGTTGGCACATGAAGTATTTTTAGATCAGTGAAAGCCCTTTGCCCAATCAGTGTGTGCTTCTGTCCACGCGGGCTATCATCATCAGACTCGGGATGGGTGCTGGATGGTTCCAGCTGCCATGGGCTTGAGCTTGGCTTGCCATGGGTATATGGGCCATCCTTGCCAAAGGCCAGGTCACAGTCCTTTGTTCAGGTGTTACACTGCGGGGATCTATTAGTTTGAACCCCGATTGAGCAGAATTTTGGTGACCGGGTTCAAAATTTCCTCGAATTGTCAATCTTGTTCACAACTTGTTAGCATTACGTTTGCCAATTTCCCTCGAGTACACCATTGCATACATACACATACATACACACATACACATTGCCTTCAAAACCTTTGATTCTAACCATCAGACTATCTCTCCCCTTGTCACAGATCCTCAGGCTTACTAATACAAGTGAGGGTGAAGGTGAGTGATGTTGAAAGGTGTTGTTGTTTATGATGTGTTGTACACACACGGGGCCAGCGGAGGACAACTTGAGGAGAATTGGCAAACCTAATGCGAACAAGTTGTGAACAAATTTCAAGATTCGAGAAAATTTCAAACCTGGACACCGAAATTCTGCTCAATCGGGTTTCAAACTTGTTACTTCCCACGGTGTTAGATGTATGTACTTTTTGGGAGCATCAGGAGGGCTGTGAAGACATTGTGACCAGCTGCAGGCCAAAGGATGCTGGCCAGTACGCATGATGTAGCATATGTAACAATATGTGGTCTTGTGTAATGTGATGCCCCAAAGAAGCCATTTGCAAGACTTTTCCACAAGTAATCTTTTATTTTGATACAATTCTGGTCTGACTTGTGTGGCAAGATCACACAAGATGGAAATGGTATTTGTTTCTTCTGAGTATTTAGTGACTCATGAGCTGATCCTGAGTACTCATCTGAGATCAAATAATGCTCATCCAAGATGGAAATGAGCCTCCTCCAGAAATGTGAAGCAAAACATGAGCAAAACAGGCTGGATGTTTCATGAGATCTGGATTTGAGACTTGATTGTAATCATGAGTATGAATTAAGTTTGAATTGGTTTAAAAATTGAATCCAATAACGTTAAAGTGTGAGAGTATGTTTCCAAGAAAAGGATGATGTGAGAAAAGTAGATGGTAAAGTGTCTCAAGTGGAGTGACTTTGATTACTTATTTCTTGTGGTTTTGAATTGTAAACAAACCACCAACAAACATGTAAATTTCTTGAATTTCTACAAATCAAATTTCAAAACCAACCAGTCATACAACAGGATGAAAAAGCTAGAGACTGACTTTACTTCTGCTTGTTATGATCTAAATCAGAGATGAGTGAGCTTAGTCCAGGTGGGATTTGAGGGAATTCAGTCAAATTTGGTTCTTGAGTTCTGTGAAGATGAGAGGAATAAGTATTTGAATTTTGGGAGGGGGATGCTGGTTGATTGAAAGGAACTGGATAACTCACTTGATTGGTGAAAGATATAAAGAGGGACTAGCTCAGCATAATACACACAGATGTGTCTGAAGCCATACTTGCATGTAGCTAGCCTAGCCCCGTGCCATCTGTACTACTGTATTACAGCCAGTTAGGGCTGCAACCCGGACCCGGCCCTGCCCGGCCAACTCTGCCCAAGCCATCTAAGAGCACTCACAGTACGCGCCCCAGGGCCACCAAACCTAACGTGCTGATGATCACAAGCGGGCACTGAGGGTGCCTTGGGTGGGTTGGCCACCGGGGCTGCCAATCCTTTTCCTTCAAAAATCCCACAGTAAGTCACTCTTTTACAATTTTGTCAAATGAAATAATGATTCTCTGAGTGGTTTTTGTGGCTAAAAACAGCCCCTGGCCCTGCCTGGCCCCAAGTTGTCAGATTCAGGGTGTGCCCTGCCTGGCCCTGATTCATTTTGGAAAGCCTTTGGGCTTCACCAAGGCCGGGCAGCACCCCGGGGCCGGGTTGCAGCCCTACAGCCAGTTATGCAGCATATGTATGTAACTGTAGTCATTGTATTGACTGGTGACAAAAAACATGTACAGTGACTTGTTAGATGTAATCAAATTTCCACCCCAAAATCCTGGTTGTTTGCACGCGGGCACACACATAATGAAAATTCCGCCAAAATTCCATGACAATTCCATCACAGGATTTTGATTTTTTTTGGTAAGAATTGCAAGTCCTGCCAACATAGACTTGGAAGATGCTCTCACTACAGAAAAAGTCATCTTTTCGCATGGGTTTACAAAATTCTCGCTTGCATAGAATATTATTGTCTAGCTTTCTTTATCCTTCTTTTCTCATTTATGTGAGATTTCAGTACAGGACAAGTATTTCACTCCATCAATACTATAATCCAGCATGTTATTCATACTCTACCAATTTTAAACCTTGTAAGGCACTGCTCATGATACACAATCAGTTTGCTTTTCCCTTCTTGCAATCTCTACGTGTTCACAATCTTTTGGATTTTTTTCTGTCTCCAAAATCCTTCCAAACAATTCCTCCGCATAACTAGTTGCTAAGCCCATGATCAAAGACTGTCATAGAGATCAAACAAATTTCACTCGATTGTTCTTCTTTGTTTTGTCACCATTCATGCTCAATACAAATTGACAAACCAAGTAAGTGTCACCAGGTGACATTTCTTTGTTGCACTAGTGGGCGTTACCTAAGTGTGTGATCATTGAAAGATCATTCCTGGACTCAAAACTCCAATACCCTCTTTTTGCGATTATGGAATGACTTGTTTTTGAGGGTACAATAATTTCAAAGTGGTTGTCACCCTCATCCTCACATTCCTGCTTCTGTATATCAAAAGCCCGCCCCGAACTTCATGGTTAACCCTTTGTTTATAAAGTCAGCTTGCAATTGATTGAAAATGTGTTAATCATCCCTTCTCAAACAGCAACCCACTTGTATACGACCAAATACGATATCTCTCATATAAGTACAATGTCTTATCTTTCCATTCCGGATACCTGCTGAACTGATTGGTGCTTTTTGCTCCACTCGATCAGGCTTTAAAACTTTCTTGATAGCTGCCCTATATCCCTGTCTTCAAATCACAACCAGTACATTAATCGTCCAACTCGGCGCTCGCTTGTCCCTTCTTTGTCTTTTCCTTTTTTCTTTCTTTCTTTTCCCTTGCTCCAATTGTTAAGCTATGGCCAAATCAAAAGCGAAATCCCCGAAGGCCTCCTCACCTGATATGAAGATGAATTCTCCAACCTCTACCGCTCCTGGAGCCACTACCTCTACCCTTGATGCTAAGTCAATTCCGCCAACAGTCAACAAATCTGAGCCTGCTCCATCCTACGCCAGTCCAAATGCCGAAGTCGATCCCGAAGTCGCGGCCAAGATCTCGACCCTTCCCGAGACTCTCAAAGTCTTCCTCGAACGTGATTTTGAGACAAAATCGAAAAGTGTTCTAAACCTCACTTACTATCAAGTGTTGTTTCACTTTAATCCAAAAACCTCATCCCGCCCGTCTCACCCCAAAGCTAATTTGCTCAAGGCTTTCCTAGAGGATGTACGACCAAAATTAGTCCCGTTCCTTATCGACCCACCTGCACCAGAAACTACTAAGTCGCCAGACGTGAACTTAGATTTTGACCCGCTCCATCGTCGCACCACACGTGGAATGCTAATCGGCGCAATTTTAGCCGCAGACCCTAAGGCTGAGATCCGTGACGGCTCCCGTATTGATCAATTACTTATACTATACAAAGCACATGTTGATAAGGATTTGATTCTTCCGGCCAATCACGAATTCACTCGCAAGCCTATGATTATGTCAGCTGCCAAGGCGTGTCAAACCCCGATTGAGAACTTACGATTCGCGATACAGTGCCACGCTCCGCAAATCTTTGTACATTCAATTGCAATGACCCGACCAATTCTTGCCAACTTGTACATCAAATTTGTTCGCGATGAAAAAGTGCCACCCCTTTCTATTATCGAGGGGTACCATTACTCTGTAGTTGCCGAGATGATGGACACCGAAGTTTGAGGTATATCACTAAATCTCACTTGCTCTCGCTTTGTTGTGGATATGAATGAACAACTAACTTCATCCTCTGCTTTGTTGGTAGGTTGCATCACTCAGTTGGCCTAATCATCTACGCACATGTTTGGTTCGATCCTGTTCGATCCTGTGGCTTTTCTGGACCCTAGTTTTTTTATCCTTGCTTTCAATCTGTACAGCAATGGCTGTCGATGTGTATCACCAGTTCCTATCACATTGGATCAGATTTTTCTTGAGTGTAAGAATTGGTTCTATCAGATTGCATCAGACTATTCCTGTGCTAAATACGTAAGAATTAGCTTCTAACAGATCACATCAGGATGATATCTCATCTCCACCATTGACACATGACGTGTATGTAGACTTAGTTATATGTTCAATCAATACTTGATTTTGTCTTTATGAAATGAAAGATAGTTTGAAAGGGAGTTTGTGAATTGACTTTGCGGGAACAGAGCAAATCGTGCATACCATGATGTAGTGTTATCAGCTAAGAATGGTTTTGTAAGATGATTGATTCAAACTAATATTTTTGTTTCAATTTTTCTTAGCTTTGTTTTCAGTCGTGCATTGAGCCACAGGCTCTTTCAACAGTGATACGAGACACATTTATTATATATATGCACCTCACAGTCTTTGCAATTGCTCCCTACTCATCTCTGCCTTGAGTCCCTAGATTAGTAACAAAATCCCCTGGCTTGACTGTAATTTTCTCTGATTTCAACGCTATCACCATTTCCAGTGTCTAATTATTTTTCTTTTGATTTCCTTTTCCTCAGTCGCAATCTGGCCTACCTGTCGCACACTTTGAAATCTGGATTGACTGTAATTTTCTCTGATTTCAACGCTATCACCATTTTCAACTTCTTCTAATTCTCTTTTGATTTCCTTTTCCTCAGTCGCAAGCTGGCCTACCTGTAGAATTTATCTGATAGCGAAATTCACATGGCTCCTCGCGAAAAGAAGACTGGCAGAGCCCATCGGATTGTTTGTCGTTGCCAGACTTTCGACTGCAACTCTGGAGTTTACTTAGACCCCTCTGGAAACCATCACAAAGGTGTTGAGCTCACTCGAGAAGCTTACGAAGCTCATCAGCGTGCCGACCTTCGAAAGCTCGCGGCATCCTCAATATCTTCGACAAGCACAGTTCCTTCTGCAAACAACGGTGGCTCTGGGGCACAGAGTGACGTGCTTACTCGACTTGGGCAGCTGTCGCTTCACTCGGGATCAAATTCCGATCATACAGAACCAGTTAGTAATCCGAAATATTGATTGAAAATGTATGAAAAACTCACCACTGAAATACACCCACTCACCGCAGCTCCCACCGCCAGCAAATTGATCAAGTCCAGACCACGCTGGTAACTTGGACACTATTGATTCAGGCTTGCCTGAACAATCTCAAACCCAGCATTCGGCTCAAGTACGCTTAGATTTAGCTGTAGCTAAGAGTAGTGGGATGGACCCCCTTGATTGTGGTAAGATAACCTTGGCTTGATGTGTTTCACAAGCAACGTCTGATTGATTGTCCAATTGATCTCACGTTACAGGCGAATTCCACATCTTCACCCTTCAGAATGCGAATGCCCTGTGCCTTCACGCTGCACTGAGCGCGGCCATCATAAGCATATTCGACCACACCTCAAGATCTACTAGTGCTTGGTTACTCGATGTACAGCGCATTACGATCGAGCTTTCTTTGACCCGCGGACTTGTACCAAGTCTTTCACACATTCCGTCGAATCTCAGCCCCGTAGACGCTTCAGCCCTACAGAAAATCCCACAAAGCATGGTCACAGTTCTTGGATGGCTTCGACTCGAACCAGACTTGATTTTTATGAACTGCTGTAAGGTGTGCTTTGCTCTTTATCCAATGACAAACACACCAAAACAATGTCATCACCGTATTGCCCGGATCCCTGGAGGGCCTCCCGATGGAAATCACTCAGATAGCGGCGCCATTGTCTCTTCGATGCCAGATAACGATCACGAATTCTCGGTCGAAGTCTGTGGTGAGCCACTTATTCGGTTCTTTCGAGGAAATCCAAAACCTGTCCGCCAGTATGCATTTCAAAGCTTTGTACATTGGCTTGGACGTTTCTTTTCTCGACCAAAGGTTGAGTTATGGCTGGACGAATCCCTTGAAGAATCATCAAAGCCATTTGACCCAGATGCTCAGATCTGCGATATTCATCAGTCGAAAGTCTGGAAAGAATTTGTTGGACCTAATGGCAAATCATTCTGCTCAGAGAGTGGAAATTTAACGTTTGGAATGTTTGTGGACGGAATTAATCCGTTTGGCAATAAACAAAGCGGACATCACACTAGCATATCATTTATTGTCCTAGTATGCCTTACTCTCCCTCTTCGAGTTCGCTATCTACCAGAGAACATATTCATTACTGGCATTGTCCCAGGTCCTCGGGAGCCATCGCTAGAGCAGATGAATTGGGTACTTCGTCCGGTTATTACGCAGCTTCAAGAGCTCTGGAATCCCGGTCTACTTCTATCTCGAACCAACCTATACCCAGATGGACGGAGAATCCGGGCGGCTCTACTGCCATTTTTAGCGGACATTCCCGCTCTTCGACGGTCACTTGGCTTCCCTAGCGCCACTGCTACACATTTCTGTTCATATTGTCTTCTCAAGAGATCTGAGATTAGAAACTTCAACCCAACTTCTTGGCCTTTACGCACGTCTTCACAGCATAAGATTTGGGCACGTCAAGCACGGGACGCCAAGACAGTCGCAGAACGCAAACTTATATTTAAAACTCATGGGGTTCGATATTCCGTTTTAATTGACCTTGAGTATTGGGACATAGTCGAGTTCCATGTCGTAGATTCAATGCATAATTTGTTGTTGGGTCTTCTGATGTGGCACTGTCGAAGGTTCTGGTCAATGAAAGAAATCACCAATGAAGAGGAAGATAGTCCTGCAATCACCACGAAAGAGCTTCTAGACCTTTTAGCAGAACATTCAAAACCGAATATCCCAAAGAATACACCAAGTACTCCGGACCCGGTAAAAGGCACTAGTGATGATGAATTACTTGGCTCATTTGGTGAAAATACAGACTCAAGTGATACAGAGTTTGATCCCTTCGCCGATAGTGGTTGGAATGGTACTTGGATTGCGCCACCGGTTGACGAAATTATCTTTGATGCTACTATGCTGAAACAAATCAATTTGATGCTTCCCAGAATCCACATCCCAACTTGGGTGAAACGGGCAATCCCGGTCCTGGGTAAGGCCTCGTTCGGTAAACTCAAAGCCGACGAATGGAGGAACCTTTTCTCCATCCAGTTACCTTTGATATTGATTCCGATGTGGTCTGGTGTTGATCACGTGAAGACTTCACTGCTTCAAAACTTTGGCCACCTAGTTTCTTTGGTCAACTTAGCTCTCAGACGTGCACTTACTTCTAGCCATATTCAAAGATACGAACATCACATTCAAGAATACTTGAAAGGCTCAGTTGTACTCTTCCCACACTGTAACCCGGCACCCAATCACCATATGGCAATTCACCTAGCCGAGTGTCTGAAAAGATTCGGATCAGTGCGCGCTTGGTGGTCATTTCCTTTTGAACGTCTCATGGGTAGCATACTGAAAGCTTGTCACAATAACCACATAGGTAAGATAGACTGTTTTTATTTCTGTCTTCAAGTATCAATGATGTATGTGCTGATCAAATTTCTGCTTGATCTGACAGGTGAACTCGAAATCACGTTCCTCAAGAACTTCTGCCGTGCTGGTAACCTTTCCGCTCTGCTACAAAGTGGAAAACTTCCGCAGGCACTTCAACCATATGTCACTCGATTGCAAGCACTGTACGAACCACCCTTACCAAAACCCAGACGCCTTTCTAATTCTAAGCTAGACCCGTTAGATGAAAAACTACTTATACAATTAATCAGACGCCTGAATGGTCAAAGGCATGAAGAATGTACTTGGGTAAATCCGGAGGAATGGGCTTCATTCTCACCAGATGAGGCACTGGGTCATGCACCTGTCCCTCCCCGCGCGTTTTTTCACAAGCACATCGATCATCTTAACATTACTTTTTCAACATTTGAAGCAAATCCAAATAACAGCTTTGTCATCTTCAAAACAAATGCTAGCAAACACAAACGGTTTGGTAGGATATCAAAGATCTTTGTTCACCGTCGAGCGCCAAAGCCGAATCACAACATCATGGAGACCTGGCTGAATATACAAGTATTCAAGGCGATTCCAGAAAAAATGAAAGATCCTTTCAAAAGCTTCCAGATGCCTGATGTACAAGCTCACTTACTGATGTGGGACTCACCCGAAGATCATGTGGTTAAGTTAGACGAAATAATTGCACATTGTGCTTGGTTGATGTACAAACCACAAGAACTCCATAGTAGTTTAAAATTTTCAACTGTAGCAATGGTGTCAATGGTGCGATGAAAATCTGTTAATCATGTACTGATTCATCCAATCTCTATTATATCTTTTACTAAATTATATATCCTTTCTTGTCCATATTTTATACTTTTCAATGGTCTTTCTATCTATTCGTGTCCATATTTCCCAAACCATTATATCTTTCATTCACCTGTCTCTTTTTTCGTGTCCATATATTATCTTTCCTTTCTTGTCAATATCTTACACTCTATTATATGATTTGTCATTGATATTTCTATCTGTTCGTGTCCATATCTTACAAAGCTTTATATTTGTCATTGATCTGTCTCTTTTTCCTGTCCATATCTTATACATACTATCATATCTTCTTTCTTGTCCATATCTTACTTCCTATCATCTGCACAATACATATTTCTTGGAATATTTGTCTTTTGATTGACATTGCCTCTGATTCCTATTCAACTAGTCGTACTTCTGAGATGTGACCCTTAAAGCTACACCGATACATTTGATTGATATGATGAAAGACACGGACGGACCTGGTTGGCTCAAACCTGTTCAAATGCTAAGGAACAATACTGATACTCAGTGATCCACTATTCAAAAAGACCATGGAACTCTTGATCATCCACGACGCTCCATGGGTCTTTCATGGAGTTTGGAAAGTCTTGGCTCCGATGCTTGATCGTGCGTATGTCCTGCTGAATTTGATCATGTGGGTTGTCTTTGTGGTGCTCAATCAAAATTTCGTTACCTTTGATCGACATAGCTGTTGTACGCTCAAAGATCATGTTCTCCAAGTCTAGTCAAGACTTGCTCATGCATGTCGATAAACGTTACCTACTCAAAGAAGTCGGAGGAGAGTCCACCTGGAAACCATATCATCGCGATTCCTCACCTTCTCAAGAATTAGATCAATCTAAGAAAGAAGAATTATTAATTGAGAGAAAGGAGCTGGTAGCAAAGTACATAGAATTGACTAATCAATGGATAGATCAAGGTTCCACCACAGATGCCAAATTAAGAGGTTTTCTTGCCTTAATGACGAAAGCTCAAGGTCTCTTACTAGTAAGTCTAATTCTATAAATTCTCTTCCTTTCACTCTGTCTCGTGATTTAGCATAAACTGGAGCAGGGACATATCTCTGATTTCATTGATGAGGTATTAGCTTTTGCTTTCTAGGAGAAGATCAAACAGAACTTCCGAGAGTTTATCATGTTGGCTTTCTGGAACACTTGATCTCCTAAACTTGAGATTCCTGATTGTAAAGGAGAGGATGAGAATTTAGAGAAAAAAAACAAGGGAGCAGGTTCCCGGGCTGGGGAAACCTGAATGATCAGTAGAGCGGGTTTCGCAGATCCAGAAAAACAACAAATCAAGGACTGTTTTCGATACTTAGAAGTTAGAACTACATAACAAGGGAGCAGGTTCCTGGGGTGGGAAAACCTGAAAGATCAATAGAGCGGGTTTCGCAGATCCAGGAAAACAACAAATCAAGGACTGTTTTCGATACTTAGAAGTTAGAACTACATAACAAGGGAGCAGGTTCCTGGGGTGGGAAAACCTGAAAGATCAATAGAGCGGGTTTTGCAGATCCAGGAAAACAACAAATCAAGGACTGTTTTCGATACTTAGAAGTTAGAACTACATAGGGCTGATTACTCATGACTACAAACCAACATGTTCCAGGAACCATATCTTCGCGCCGGGACTTTTTACCTCACACAAAAACTGTTTTGATGAGAGCATTACTATAAGTGATATGCAAAGTATTCAATCTTATGACTCAGAATTTCACGATCACACTATGTGATTGTGATTGACAAGTAGTGCGGTATGCATGGTTCACATGATGCAAAAACAGCTATAAAATTTTTGTCAGAGATAATGATCAACAGTTACGACAGTCAAAGTGATAAGACAACAAATCACAGAGATTCAAAGCTTGAGATTTTTGATTATGGTATTGGACGGGCTAATTTTCAGTGGTTCAATGTTTTGACAGGACGATGTTCCTTGATGAACCTTTAATATGCAATCAAGTGGTTAGTAAACAATAGCAAACAATGCTGAAACAAGGAACCCACTCATGTTGCTCAGCCAATGCTCCAATAATTTCTCGATCAGCTAATTTTGAGCGGGTTGATGTTTTTGGAGGACTCCCCTAATTGAATGATCAGTATAGCATCAGTTAGATCAGCTTAAGAGTGATCATGTAGAGAATTGTGACAGGGAACGCACTCATGATGTTTGGCCAACGCTCTAAGAAAACCAACGTCTTCAATGGCAGCATTGAACATCCCCTGACGGGATCTTAAAGAAGCTTTAGCACATTTTAATTCCTCCTCAAGATCTCCGCGTTCGGTTCGTGAGAGGGTGGGCAGACGCAATTGAAGGTGAATACTTTTGATGGACTCGACGGATCGTTCAAGGAAGATGGATGTGTCGTGGAGAGTGTCCTCAGCATCAGTTTGAGCACCAATAATCTCATCAATTTCTGCTTGGTTCAGAAACGTATAGGACTCGATAAAGTGCTGGAGGCTTTCGGCTGCAAGACGGTACTTCCCGCTCCTGAGGTGCATAAGAGTACCGGTGTCAAACATATCAATTCGTTTAGGGTCGTAATCAGCGCTGGAATTGATCCATCGGCTAGTGAGTTGATCAGGTTTGTATACGGGGCATGCGAATAGGCCTTGGATATAGTTTTTGTTGCCATTAAGAGAGCTGATTAAACGAGATAGACGTGGGGCCACCTTCTCAATGAAAAGTTTGAGGAGGAGTTCATGGTCTTCTTCGGCATTTCGAGTTAGACGGAGACGGGGATGAAACGCTGAGATCACCTCCACAATTTGATTTGGAGTAGCTTTGCTTAAGAAGAGGTCCACATCGATCCTAGGATTAGTTTCACCAACAACGTATTCAAGCATATAATTGGGTAAGTAAACATAATAGGCCGGGTGATGATCCATGATATCTGGAGTACTGAATGATGAGATGGTTTAAAAAAATCTTCAGAGAAATGTATGAGCTTTGAGTTAGAAACTTGACGGAGCAGTAGGTGTAATATATGCTCTACAACCTCATGATCATGATCAACTTATCAAGTGGTCTTGTTTGTTGATTACAATACATGGATAAAGCTAGAAGATAGTTATATCAATATAAGAGATTAATTTGACCATACAATCAGAATGAGACATTCGTAGCTCTTCTGCAATTCAGATGATCAACATAATGACTGGTCATCCCAGCCTTTCCGCTATGACTTGATTATAATCAAGTCATCAAAAGATGTCCTGGGAGGCAATGATCTTTCCCACTTGTGATCTTGACGTACATATAGATCAGTTGTGTTCAATGTAATCATCAATCAGATCTGATAAATCTTCTGACCTCACTCAATCTCAGAATGTAAAAATTAAGAATTGTATATTGTAAAAAAGTTGACTTTGATGGTTGACGGACCGGTTGGGCGACTATGAAGTGATTGGGTATTTTACTCTGTTGTAAATTCCTAGCCTGGATCAAGTAAATATACATCTGGACCAAAGCAATAGCTTGATGATGGTAAAAAACTATCCCTATCTTAATGTGATCTGAGTTCTGGATTTGAATAAGTGTACCCCAGCATTGAAGGTAATCAGATTGCGGCACATGTCCAATGGAAAGTACGTCTCTATCAAAACTGTCCGAAATTGAGTCATAAACGTGTTTGCTTATTGGTTTCCAGTCTAATTTTCAGAAACTACGCAATGGTTGTGACCTTGATGTTAAGGTCACATTGAACTGGCACTGTGTCTGTCTTTTCTATTGAATATCAAACAAATATGCAATGGTTCTTCACAGAAGAAAGATACGTTGATAGCTCACTTTATTCCACCTCTGATAAAAACTATAATGAAATAAAAAATCAACAACTTTATTTGAGAGATACATTGATAGTTCTCTTGATTCCACCTCTGACACGAACTATGATATATCATGAAGTCAAAAGTTAACAAAATTTTTCTTTGAGTCTATCACTGATAAACACTGATGTATTAAAAAGCGGTTGTGGACAGAAGATACAATTGTTTATATACCTTTATCTCTGTTCTGTTGCTTCTAAATCAAGAGATCTGTGTCGGTGATCGGAGTCAAACATGATGTATCAGGAATGTTTACATACAAGCGAAAAAATCAAAGTTTTTCGACGAGAGGAAGCAGTTCATCCAGAATAGGTACAGGATTGACTTCTAGCTGGGTTCTTTCCAGGGGAGAAAGTTTCTGGAGCCAAGTCGAAGAATAGCAGTCTACCGGAAGGCCACTTGGTGCAGGTACCTGACTTTGTGGTCCACCTATGCAGCGATACCGAGGACGGTTTGGCCGACCACTTTGCCTTGGTGATGCACCCTTCTTGCGTGGTTTACTTGAATCAACCTTTGATTTAGCAAGATCAAGTAACATACATATTGTCTTGAGATTGTTGCTTCGCCATTTAACGCTTCGTATCACACAGGGTATAACCGGGCCCTGCTGGCTAGGTGTTGAGATTTGCTCGAGGTCGGTCTCATCGTCACTGCATGCCGGCGGCACAACATTTGCAAGTCGCCAAAGCTCAGGGTTGGTAAGTATGTAGGTCTCGCGTATCTGCCGCAGCTGGTGTATATAAATCAAGTAGTCAAATAAATGATTCATATTTTTGAGTGGGTAATTTTAACGCACATATCTAAGCCTTGCACTTCGGCGAATTTCATCAGAAGTCCTTTTTCGACGTTCTTCTTCCCAATTCTTGTTCTGGTACCTGTATGTTCCCACAAAAGTTTGTTACAATAAGTGTGAGATATGGTGTTTTTTTGCAACATGAATATCCTGACATACCGTTTGGTCAGGGACCTAATGTGGGTATTAAGACACTTATTGACAAATTTTACATTCTCATCACCAGCAATTGGAACACCAGTATATTCTCCACATTCTACCAGCTTGAAAAATATTCTGAGCGCGAGGGCCCACAGCCATCTATTGTCTGGTGAATGTTGAGATTCGGAAAAGTCGGGCCGAAAGCTAGATACGCCTACACTGCGCATCATCCTCCAAATGATCAGGAGTTGTCGAGGTGTGGCGTCCTTATGTCCTGGCCCGTCTGGATAAGGGAAGCATGGATCCAACACCTGACTTCAGCGCAGAACCGCGCAGAGTGGGCTAAACTGCGCAGCGTCCAAACTTTTGAAAACATGCTCTGTCGCTGCGCAGCGCTGAGGGCGCAGTGACAAAAGAAACGATAACCCCAGCGGTGGGCAAAGGTGCAGTTCAGCACAGCGCAGTAACCTCAAAACTGCGGTAGGTAGGCCAAGATTCACAAGAGCGAGGTAGAGCGAGGTAGAGCGAGGTATTGTAAAATGGGGACAATCAGATTTTTGGGAGTTCCGAATCTGATGAGCTTACAGCGGAATAGAACAGTTTGAAGCGGAGTACGTAGAAGATCATTTTTGATTTGAATTGGAACATTGAAAAGTTTAAATCGATTAGAAGATTAAAAGGGTTTTAAAGAACGTTACGAAAATAAAACAATGATCAAAAGCAATTAAGAATGAGAGCAGAAAGAGGCCAAAGATGGCCGAGCATTCATTTGCTCGAGTCTTGGGCTTTCTTGTTCTTTTTCAAAGTCTTCACCAGTTTGTCTACAGCCACAACAGCTTTTCCAATTTCACCACCTGGATAAAAACCATGCTTGAGCCACTGACAGACGCCTACCGCGCGTTCGATCGTTCGTGAAACTAGACCACCACGACTGGTGGTACATATGTGAGCTGCTGTGCTGAAGGTCCTCTCAACAGCGCAAGAAGTTCCAACACAACAGAAATAGTCTCTCGCAAGCCTAGCGAGCTTTGGGAAGTTCTTTTGATTGAACTGAGAAGATAGATTGATTGAGTACCAGTAAGTGTGTGTATTAGGAAGAAGGAAGACTTACTCGCCACCATTCCAATATATCGCCTTTACAAGGGTATTTACCAGACATGTAAAGGTCAATCTCGTCATCGACAGAGAGTTTCAGACCCGCAGATGCATGGAAGGCACCTTTCTCTTCAAATGGGTCAGACTCCTCAGTCGGACCAAGTGTAGAATCAAGATTTTCATCTTGCTCTTCGCCATGTGGCTCTTCAAGGGATCCGAGTGTCTGACGAAAAAGTCGTTCAGCATTCATGGCGTATTCAGGATACTGTTTGGTGAAGAAAGTGAGACGGAAGTTCGGGTTGAGTATGGTTGCCAATATGATGGGGTCGCAGTGTAACGCTTCGGTTTGGTACAGTCGCAGCTTGCTAGTCATCGTGGTTATCATTGATGAGATGCTTGGATGAGGTGTCGCAGTCTTCTTTGCGGTCAATAAGCTGATTACAGTGGAGTATTGGAAGAGCACCGATCCCGCGGTTGGTCCGTCTATTTCCATCTTCTTGGTGGAACGAAGAAAAATCTACACATTGACCAAGAGAGATACAAAGTCAATATTCCCTACTTGGAGCAAAAGAAACTTGATGTGTACCTCGAGAACACTGTTCAGTGCCTCGACTGCCTTCCACTCATCGGGAGATATAGTGATCCCTTCGTAATACCCTTCTTGATCAGATGTGATCATGAAATTGATAACCTAAGGATGGCAATTGGAACAGAGAAGAGCAATGAAATAATCCATACATTTCCATTTGTAGAATTCGACTATGTACTTACCTGCTTTGCTTCACAACAGCGCGACTGGGCATCGTACCA